TTCTTTATATCATTACAGTGATGTTTTCAAAATACAGACCTAATGATAGTACCTTTTTTCTTAAACACCATTTCTTAAAAGCCATTTCAATGGCTTCCCATTGCTCTTAAGATAACAGCCAACATCTCTGATATGTTCAATATCTTGAAAAATCTTTTACTTAATTATTCCAACCTTATCTTATACCTATCCTCCCCCTGTTTTTGTACTCTGTCTTAGTGGTTCTTCAAAGTTTTGACATCATAGGACCTAATTTAACTCCAAAAATTATTGAGGACCCTAATGGGCTTTTGTTCATGGGAGTTAGATCTAACAATACTTAACTGTCTTAGAAATTAAAACTGAGAATTATTTTAAGCCATTAGATAATTCATTTTTAAATACTCGTTATAAATCCATTACATGTTAATACTGACAACAGTTGTTATAAAACAGCATCTTCTATAATAAAAAGATGCTATTGAAGAGAACTGCATTGTTTTACATTATTACAAGTCTCTTTATGGCTTAATAGAAGACAAGTGTATTGTCACATTTGTTTCTGAATGCAGTTTGTTATGATATATTGTTCTGGTTGATGTGTATGAAATAAATCCAGCCTCACACCAAAAAATAGTTGGAAAAGGGGGAGTATTTTGTAGACTCTTCCTGCACTTGTAGGTGTTCTGGGCAAAACTGGGCAAGTGGTAGTTTCTTAAAGATTAAATAACTGTGGTAGCCAAAAGCAAATCCATGAGTTTTTCATAGCCTTAAATTAAAATCTATTAAGTAGTTTGGAAAATAGTAGTTCACTGAGTTATGCAGATCTTCCAAAATGGATACATTATATTACACAACATTAAAAATAACAATTTTTAATATCACCACTGACTTTGTCAGAAAAGTCATTAAGTATTAGGAAGACCAGCAATTGGGCCCTGGAATAGCTATCATACTATTGATGGTAGTTAGGTTTTGCAAAATTCTAATTTTTTCCCAAAAGCTCAACTTTTATGAAATACTGTCAGTCGTTTTTCTTGAAGTGACAGGCTCACTTTTCATTTTCAAGAAAATATATGGCAAATGTCCAACGTGAATAACATAATTTGTCCATTAGTCATTCTTTCAAGAAAAATTGCAATGCATGAAGAAAGTGGTTAATTCAGCTTACAACTCAGACTATCTCATGAGTGGTTATCTTCAAAACCACCATCATACTGTGATATGGGTAGAATTGTTTTATGAATGTCCAGAACATTAAAAAGGAATATACTCAAGGTTTGAAGTTTAATAAAATTAATAATGTTTACTCAGACATTTTTAAGTGAAACTGGCTTTTCTTTTTAAACTAAGAGTACGTAGTGGGAAGAATACAATAACTGCTAATAAGTTTGGTGGCATTGTCCTGAATCATGCTAAGTCATGAGCAATTTTACTACGATTACTTTTGTAACATCAGTGCAAATGTAATGACAATGAAAAAGGTAACATTTAAATATTATTTTGAAAATAGTTTTGACCCTGGCCAGTGTGGCTTAGTTGATTGGGCATCATCCTGCAAACCAAAGGGTCATGGTTTTTGATTCCCGGTCAGGGCACATGCTTATGTTGCTGGTATCCCTGGTTGGGGGGTACAAACAGGGCAACCAGTTGATGTTTCTCTCTCACACCTATGTTCCTTTCCTCTCTTTCTCCCTCCCTTTTCCTCTCTCTGAAATCAATAATCATGTCCTCTGGTAAAAATAATAATAATAAAAAAAGAAAATAGTGTTTAACTTACAGTCCTAGAGGTCCATGGACCACACTTTGAGTTCTCTATCTACTTATACAAACCTCATGTGAATATTTTATGTGTAGCACTTACGCTGTGTCAGTTTTAAATGCTTTATAAATATTCTCATTTATGGCTTATTTAGGTTGGTGTTATTGCTCATCTTACAGATAACTGAAGTAGAGAGGTTAAATAACTTGTCCCAAATATACAACTAATAAGGGGCAGAGCTGAGATTAAATCTGTGCCTTCTGATTCCAGAATCCATGCTCTCAACAACTGTGCTTTTCTTGAATGTTCCTCTCGCTTCAGGGCTTCTGTACATATTGTTCCCTCTACCAGAAGCACTCAAGTCAGTGCTTTTAAACCTATTACCTAGAATACTCCCTTGAACCACAGCTGAAGTGAAACTTTTACTTCCTCAGGGAAGCCTTCCCTCATCCCTCTAGATTCCCATTCTTACATTCTTTCATAGCATCACTTGTTTATTTCTTACTACTTACTACAGGTACAATTTTATATGTATTTGTGAATGTTAGATTAAATTCTCTCATGTGCATAGGGACTGTGTGTGTTTTCCCCAGTACCCGGAATAGAGCCTAGTAGATGGTAGGTATTCAATAGATAATTGCTGAATAAATGGATAGAATAGTATAGAGATGAGTGAATAGAATCATTTTGCTATATGGAATGAGGGACAGATCTAACTTAATTTTTCCTAAATGTGTAATCAGTCATAGCTCCATTTATTGGAAAAACAAATTATCTTTAGTTCACTGACTAAAATACCATCGTTATATTGTCCTTAATTCCTATGTATACTTGACTTTATTTCTGAATTTATATCCTTTGCTTCTGACTGGGATCTTTTTTATGTTGCTAAGGTCCTCACTAAGTTCCTTGAGCATCCTTATAAACAGCATTTGGAACTCTGCATCTGATAGAGTGCTTATTTCCATTTCATTTAGCTCTTTTTCTAGAGTTTTGTTCTGTTCTTTCATTTGGGCCATGTTTCTTTGTCTCCTCATTTTGGTAGCCTCCTTGTGTTTGTTTCTATGTAATAGGTAGAGCTGCTTTGACCCTGTGTCTTGGTAGTGTGGCCTAAAGTAGTACATGTCCTGTAGGGTCCCATGGTACAGCTTCCCCTATCGTCCAAGCTGAGTACTCAGGGTGCACCCTTTACAAGAGTACACCCTCTTGTAGTTAAGCCTTGGTTGCTGTTGGCAGATCAGTGGGAGGGATTTACCCAAGCCAGTGAGCTGCAAGAACTGGCAGTGACCACTAACCACCAACCTCCACCCTCCATGGGGCGTCAGCTGTGTAGGGTCAGAGTGGTGGTGCTCTGATGTAGTCTGTAGCTGTCCACTGGGTACACTGGCCCTTGGGTTTCCCAGCTGGTACAGGCCAAGGTCAGCCCCCACCTGTGTTTTGTCCAGGGCACCCTGCCAGAGCTGTAAAGCAATCTGAGGTGGCTGCTACTTGTGCTGGGCTTGGAGATGCCCAGGTGAAACCAGGCTGTGACTCTAATCTGGCTACTGCTAGGGCTCACTGAAGCCAGGTATTGCTTATTTGGTAGGATTTAGGAGCTAAGACCATTCATATGGAAAAGTAGCTTGGGTGGACCCATTAGTTGGGTGGGGTGGATTCTCTGGTGATCTCTGAGGTGGATCAGTGTTAGCTAGGTTGTTGGAATCTTAGATGTGGCACCAGTCTGCCGGTGGGGGTGGGGCCTAGAAAAGGGATAATGGCCTCTGGTCGACTTTATGCCAGACACCTCAGCCTCCCCCTGCAGACCACTGGTGCACTCAACCCACCACTCCATTGCCAGAGCCCAGAGGGAATCTGAGTAGGTGAGTCCGTGTCTCGGTTCTTTACGAGAAACTGCTTAGGGCTCCAGCAGTTTCTTTCACCGACTCAATCTCCATTGATTTTTGCAGCCAAACATTGTGGACCCTTATCTTCCTGGCACTGGAACCCTGGGCTGAAGGGCCTGGTGTGGAGCTGGGATTCCTCACTCCCGAGATACCTCTCCTGAATTTTCATCTACCACATGTGGATGTGTAAACAGCCTGTTCCATGTATGCACCCCTCCTGGCAGTCTGGATGGATGTGGTTTCTTTAACTCCATAGTTGTTAGACTTCCATTCAGCTCGATTTCTGACATTCCTGAGTGATGGTTGTTCTATATTTTACTTCTGATTTTGATGTGGTTGTGTGAAGAGGCTAGCCATGTCAGCTTACGCTGCCATCTTGACCTAAAGATTCACTGTTCTGTTTTATTGATCTCTTTATTCCTTTAAACCACACTTGTTAAATTGTTTTAGCTTTACAGTTTTATATTGGATATAAAAATTCTAATTTATTTATATTGGATATATTTAAAGAAGTCTAGCTCCATCCCTGCCCTCCTCTGTTCTGTTACTTTCTACATAGGTAACCATTTTTATTAATATTTTATTTGTGGTGTTGGTTTTGGTAAATATAACCAAATATGTCTATATATTTCTATTTCCCCTTTTTTCTCCACACAAAAAGTAGCAGTCAATACACATTAATTTGAAGTTTGCTGGGTTTTTTAATTTAATGTATCCTGAAGATTATAGCAGTTAGACATCTTTCTTATTTTTTAAAAGTTACAAGGTACTCCATTGTATGTATATACCGTTGTTTATTTAATCAGCACTCTAGAGTAGGATATTTGATAATGTTACCAGTTTTTGCTTCCCTAGTTAGTGTAGTAATAGATAATCTTGTGCATATATAATCTCATATATTTACCATTGTGTCTTTGGGAGCTCATAGGAGATTTTGACCAGGGGCATATTATTAAAACATTGTTAGGGAAAATGAAACTGGAAATGGAATGCAGAGTTGGATATAAATAGGATTGGATGACTGAAAGTTTATAATTTATAGTTGTCTTCAATACTAAGGTGGTAACTGGCTGGATATTTATTACTACAGTGGTATTTTAGTATGCTCATTTCCTGCTCACCCAGTGATAGATTTTTTTATCTGCATCCTTCCTTTATTTCTGTTTTTTTCTCCCCCTATTCACTTTCCTAGATATGGTCTGTTTATTTTCTCTTAATTTCCCTCCATTTATCCCTCTTTGTGAATCATTTCATGAGTCAAATCCAATTATTCATTGAAGGCATGCTTTTCACCTTCATTAGCTCTTACCTATTACACAACCACCTTTTTGTTGAGCACAGAAATGAAGGAAATATGTATTTCCTGTTTTTTTCAGAGTTGGAAAGTAGACCTGAGAGCAAAGATTCAACTTCAGAGCAAGATTTTTCCAAAGAAGAATCGTGCCAAATTGCAATAATAGACAGACTGACAGGGAATAGTGTCTATGACACCAACTTGGAAACAACTCTTGAATGTGAAAATTTGTTAGAGAATCAGCAAGGAAATCAGGGGAGACACTTGAGAGAAATGTTCACTAACATGAATTCACTCCCTGAAGAAAGAGCTCATGAGCATCATATATATTGGAAAAACTTTAGTCAGAAATCTGTCCTTCTCCATCAGGACAGAGTTCCAAAAGGAACCTATGCCTTTCATACGCTCGAAAAAAGACTGAAGCAGAAACCAAACTTAAGGAAGAAGCAGAGAATCTATAAAGAGAAAAAACCTCATAAATGTAATGACTGTGGTGAACTCTTCACTTACCATTCAGTGCTTATTCGACACCAGAGAGTTCATACTGGAGAGAAACCCTATAGCTGCAGTGAATGTGGGAAATCTTTTAGCCACAGAGCTAATTTAACTAAACATCAGAGAACTCATACTAGAATTCTCTTTGAATGCAGTGAATGCAAGAAAGCCTTCACAGAAAGTTCCTCCCTTGCAATACATCAGAGAATTCACATTGGAGAGAGACCTTATGAATGCAGTGAATGTGGGAAAGGATTTAATCGAAGTACCCATCTTGTGCAGCATCAGTTGATTCATACTGGAGTGAAGCCTTATGAATGTAATGAATGTGACAAAGCTTTCATTCATTCATCAGCACTCATCAAACATCAAAGAACTCATACTGGGGAGAAACCCTATAAATGTCAGGAATGTGGGAAAGCTTTTAGCCATTGCTCATCCCTTACTAAACATCAGAGAGTTCATACTGGAGAAAAGCCATATGAATGTAGTGAATGTGGAAAAACCTTTAGTCAGAGCACACATCTTGTTCAGCATCAAAGAATTCATACTGGAGAGAAACCTTATGAGTGTAATGAATGCGGGAAAACCTTCAGCCGGAGTTCAAACTTTGCTAAGCATCAAAGAATTCATATTGGAAAGAAACCATACAAGTGTAATGAATGTGGAAAAGCCTTTATTCATTCATCAGCTCTTATTCAACATCAGAGAACTCATACTGGAGAGAAACCCTATAGATGTAATGAATGTGGGAAAAGCTTTAAGTGTAGCTCATCCCTCATTAGACATCAAAGAATTCATACAGAAGAGCAACCCTGAAAATTACTAAATGTGAAGAAATGTAAGTTGGTTTTATCACTGTGTTAAATATAGGAGTTATAAGTGACCCTTAAAATGCTGCTTATGGACCAATTTTGTATGCATCTAGTTTTACTTGCATAGTATGTATTTTTGAGCCATAAACAAAATGTTCCTTATATCCATTGATTTGATAATTATGAAAGATACTTTCCAGATATTTCAGGTTTTGATCCCTAACCCTTCCCCAATACCCTTTTGTGAAATTCAAGAAATCCTTAGTAGTGAGTAGCAATATAATAAATCTGGAATCCAGTTTCTTTCTCTCTTTTTCACATTATAGCCCTGTTAAAGCTTTTCACTTTGCAAGGAAATTCTTATTGGGTATGTTAGGCAGAGGGTTCATATCCTTATCATCAGAAATACAGAGTTGCTCCTCTTTGAATCCAAAGTAGAAATCTACATTTACAGATACTTTCATTTCTCCAGTGTCATTTCTTTAATATTAGCTATAGAAAGTTAAAGGTTAAAAGTTGAAATATGCTTTGAATTTCCTCTCTCTCCACAAAGGCTGTTCTCTAATTTGATTAACAGAAATAGAATGTATTTATAGCTGGCTGTACATTACATTTACATGGGTTATGCTGGTCATAGATTTAGATAATTGCTGGGTATAACTTCATTTTCTACTTGCTTGGAAGTTACCCTGAAGTAGTATGGGTCAGAATCTTAAATATAGTTTTGATCAAGTCCCTCTTTTCTTATCCATGGCATTCATTGAATAAATCATTGGTTTTCTATAATGACAGTATTAGTGAGATTTCATTTCTTTACATTATTCTGCTTTCTGTAATCGATGATTTGTCACTTTGAGAAAAAGTCACTGGGATGTTGAGGATCTGAAAGTTGATGGGTTTAATGTGTTACCATATTTAGGATCCTAGTCCAGAAAAATAACTGAAGCAACTATAAGATAGAAAAGGAACTGAAGGAATGAGAGAAATATCTTCCTGTCAGATAGGTTAAATAGTGACTCACTTGACAATAAGCAGCTTCTCTCTGTGAAGAAGTTGCCATTTTTGACCTTCATGTATGCCCACATTTTTTGTTCTTGTTCTCTCTGTATGTTAGTTAGTCTTTGCTATATCCCAGAGCCATAAAGAAGATTGAAAAGGCATGAAACCACATGATATATTGATATACTTAAATGGGTGACCAAAGACCAGTAATGTGATTGGGAACACAAAAGCAAAGGTTCAGATAAATATTTAGCAAAACATTATATAAAAGTTAAGATTTTTTGTTGTTGTTATTCTATTAATACATATTATGTGAAAAGATTATAGAAAAAGTAGAGAGAAACAGTAGTTATAGATTTCTTCTTCTAATTCTACCTTTTATGAACATTCAGCACCAGTCCATGTTTTGCTCCTTTCTTGATATGCCTGTGACTTATAATTCCTTCTCTGTAGACTTTAGTTCTATTATTGAAGAAAAGTAGAATAAAGTTTTAAAGTGGTGGTAGTGGAGAGCAAGATCATTAAGGATGGATCAAGTATAAATTCAGCAATGATTGAAATCCAACAGTATGAAAGAAATGGGGCTGAAAGGACTTGGAAAAGGTTTTGTAAAGAATTTTTAAAAACAAATTGAAAGGGGTAGAGATGGTTGGGAAGGCTCAAGGTCTGAGAGGTCAGGGTAGGAGAATGGCTGATGAACAAAATAAAGGAAAGGGAGCTCAACTCTTTTCATCACCTTAACCAATAATGGTCTAAAGCAGGAATTAACAAACTGTGGGCTGGACCTGTAGACCAAGTATGTCTACTGCTATTTCTGTAAGTAATGATTAATTGGAGTTCAACCACACATTCACTTACATGTTGTTTGGCTGTTTTATACTAGAATGACGGAGATGAGTAGTTGCAGCAGAGAGTATATATATATCCTGAAAAGCCTAAGGTACTTGCTATTTCTTAATGTGCCAAATGCTTGAATGACAGTAAATGCATCATTTGGGGGCCAAAATTTGACTAATAAAATAACATCAGCATGGACTTTTCAAAGCTGGGTTTTAATACTGCCACCTCTGTTTAGCAAGTCTGTGACCTTGGAAGGCTACTTATTTTCTGAGCTTCAGTTTTTTACCTGCAAAATGAGAATAAATCATCCCTCATATGGTGGTTGTGAGGACTAAATATGACAATGCAAGTAAAGTACCTGGTACACAATAAATTATATAGAGTCTTTTCCCCTCCCCTTCCCCTTCCTTTTCTCTCCCTCTCTCTCTTAATGTATGTATACACACGTATTTTAATGAAGTGTTATCTTAGTTCATTTGGGCTGCTATAACAAAATATCTTAGACTGAGTGGCTTATTCAACATTATCACAGTTCTGGAGAGTAGGAAGTCTAAGATCAAGGCCCCAGCAGATTCATTGTCTGATGAGGGGATTCATGGTTCCCCTCAAAGATGGCCATCTTTTCACTGTATACTCACATCCTGAAAGGGCAAGGGAGCTTTGTGTCCTCTTTGATGAGGTTACTGACCCTGTTCATGAGAGTTCTGCCATCGTGACCTAATCACCTTTTAAAGGCCCCACCTCCTAATACCATCACATTGGGATCAGGTTTCAACCTGAATTTTGGGGGAACACAAACATTCTTGTAATTTAATTATAGTTTAAGTGGTGGTAAAGGATTTGCTGTTAGTTTTACTGAGAACTCTGGCCCTTTACATTTCAGTATTCTTTTTATACCTGGTGTTAAATCTATGGGTTTGTACATTGACATGAATCCTGGAAGTTTTAGCAGTCTGCTTTTCAAATGTTTTTGGTTACCTATAACCCAAATTTGACTGTTCATATTAGCCCACTGTCAATAAAGATATTTACATATTTATTGTCAGAAACTTTTGTAAATTGCTCTTAAGTTCTCCTAATTTAAGCATATTTTAAGAGGTAAAAAAAGACCAACCATGAAAATACTCTCATATCATTCAGGAAACCAATCACATTTCTAATTATTCATATGAACTTCACAACTTCTTGAGACATAGATTGGGGAATACCCTCTACAACCCGTGTATCTGTGAGAAGGTTAGAGTAGAGGAAGGATATTTCTATGAAAGAGTCCTTGGGCCAAGTACAGCACCCCTCACTTAGGGGAAATAGTGGGGGAGGAAAGGAGGGAAGAATGAACTTCATGTAAAACATACAGTTAAAGCTAGGCAAGATAGGGTAAAAAAGTGATCTAGTAAATTTTAAATTATATCTGGCTTTCAGGAGAACAATATCATATCACTGAAAAGTACAAAGTGGTAACATAAGAATACCAAACATTCAGATTCTTGGCAATTAACTAGTTCAATTATCTATTAAAAGTGTCATAATTGTTTTATTTTCTCAGGTAAGTTTTCACTTTTTAAAAAAATATGTTACAACAGGACTCAGGTTGGAAGCTCTTCGTCCCTGCCTTCTCCCTTTCCTTACCCAATTCTTTTCTAAGCCTCAACGGGACAGTCTTGGAATACAAAGCCAAATGAGCTGTCCTTACCATAGGTATTGTTGGCAAGGCACAAGTTGTGTTATCCTGTGGTAATATGTATAATGTGACACATGGATTACCTTGTACTTTCTTCCAGTTAATGTCATCAGATAATCACATATTTTCACTGAATTGTTGTTTACATTTTTCACACTATAACCTGTTGTTTTTTAACCTCTGTTCATCCATAAACCAGATAATTTGTCCTTACATTGAGTTGACTATACATAAAATGTACAGTCCATTCACCTGTAAACAGATTGTCATCATGTCAGGAAGTTCACATATCTGAGAAACCTAAAGGGTGAAGCCTGACACTCAGACAATGCTAGATCAAGGACTGGTTACCTCCATCTCTGCTGTGGTTTCCTCTGTATTAGCTATATTTTCATCAGTCTCCTCCAGTGATGTTAAATCCCTCTACTGGCAGTTGCAGGTTAGTATGGTTCTTAATATTTGCAATCTCAAGAATACTTCTTTGTAAATAGTTCCAGCAAAATCTCTTAAGACTACTTCCCAACTTTGCTTGAGTAATGCTGATCATTGAACCATTTACTGCCTTGAATTGGGGTCCTCATTGACCAGGCCTGCCTCCATTTAAAACCCCAGGGAGGGTAAAGTCCACCCCTAAAAGAAATCCAGGGTTGCTGGGCAAATAAAATAATCATGTCAACTGTAATTGAATGGCAAAACAGCATAAATAAAAATATCCAATCTCCCCATATTACTCAAAAAAAAAGAAAAAACTTTTCCAAAAATCAGTGATAAACTGATAGAAGGCCAAAATCTAAGAAAATATTCACAACATTGACACAACAGGGTCTCTGTGGGGATTACAAGAGATAATGAAAATGCTTTGTAAAGCATGTTGCAGAGTTAGAATTTATTCTTCAGTGTCATGCGTCTGGTATTGTACAATATATGTACAAAAAGTATATATCTCTCACCAGAGTGCCAATTCTTAACACTAACTTATGCTATCTGTCCATTGTAGGTTGGCAAGGAGTCTTTGCTCAATAGTTATATTCCGAATGTGATACAGAGCAGCCGCTGTCTTAAACATTACTTTTGCCATACCAAAGCCATGATTATTTTATGTATAGTTGACTCAATTCCCAATCTTATGATCCATGTATCTCATATTGTAGTGACTTAAACTTGTTGTATCCAGTACTCTTAGTTTGTGAAAACCCATTTCAGGCAAGCTTAAACAAAAAGGTTACCATGATTAAAGAGCGTAAGTTTCAGATATGACTGCATTTAGGTGTTCAAAAGATGTCGCAAGATCATTCTCTTGCTAGCTTGACTCTTCCTCCAAATTGTTTTTATTTTCAGGCAGGCATAATGGCAGAGATAGTCACTGGCAGCTTTGACTTGAGTTATGCTGACAACTGTTGATTCCAAAGTAAAGACTATTTCATTGTTCATAGTGCTATTGAGAGTTGCAGGATGGATTCTGATTAAACGACTTGCACCCCATACCCATCTTTAAACCAATACTATGGCCAAGGGAATTGGGTACTCTGAGAAGGGTAGAAAAGAAGGGGTGAAGAGAAAACGTGCTGAGCTGGAAAAAAAAAAACAACCCTGAGAATTTATGCCTACCTAGTCAAGGGATGGAGACTGTACTTACTAAGATCTTACAGAATGAAGGCATGCCTTCTATAGACCTGGAAAACAGTAGAGTGAGAAAACAAATAATTTGAACATGAATTACTTATTCATCCATCTTCAGGAGTTGTAGTTTCTCACAGATTTATAGCAACCCAAAAGGGTAATAAGAACTTTGCCCTTTATTCCCAGGGATTTCATTTCAAAGTTTCATGTGCACATGAACATAAACATTGAAACAAGATCTGTGAAGCCTTCTGGAAAAGAGGATTTTAGCCCCTCTTTAGTTTCTAAGTCCTTAATTTCCATCTCCTTTACATTTAGGGCCAGGTATATGTAGCAACTCAGTTTCATTCCCATTCTGTCATCTGTAGTCGACATAAGTGAAAGTAGGAGAGGGAAATCCTCTAAAGTCTACCTGATGGTGGGGGAGTTTGGCCACATCAGTGCCCAGATATTCTGAAGTAGTAGGAGTCCTAAGAGGAGATAAAAATGTGAGAAACAGAAGGTGGTATGTGAATTTTTTCCCCTGCAGTAAGATTAGAGAAAGATTATGAAGTTAGCAAACCACTACAATGTCATCTACCTTGGCCCTCTCACTGGGTTCCAATTCTTGATGCTCATTTGTGTGACCTGTTTATTGTGGATTGGCAGAAAGGTTCTCATAGTTGCTCAGGGACCCAAGCTGGTGAAGCAGCATCATCTCAAATATTGCTCCCACTGTGCTAGAAGGAAAGGAAAGATCTAGAGTGTCTTGCCTTACATAATTCACTTCACAATTTTATACACCAAAACAAATCACAGGCACTCATCCATCTTTTTATTAAATGCTGGTCACATAGGCATCTTCTCTCTAAAATGTACCCAAACTGCAGAATTCCAGAAGGAAAGCAGGTGTTTAGCAAAAACCACATTGTACAAACAGTTTAGGCACAGTGACCACTCTCTATCAGTTCTGGGAATGGGAAACATCCAAAGTCAAAGCTCTTAGATGCCATGTTCAACCTCCTCAGCAAGCCTTTCTAAATAGCAATTGTAGGCTTGCTATATTAATTCTTTTATGCACAATTTTTTTTGCCACTACTGTTACAAAATAGTCTCTCAACCACTCATATTAATCACAACACTTTGCTAGCCAAAGTAATTAACTAGGACATATGTGATTGAGAACTCTTATACACAAACAATTTAGCAGATGAGTAAAGATCACAAATGCATAATATGACATCAGTCACAGATATCCCTTTTACACTTGACATGGCAAAGGTGAACACATATTTGTATGTGTACATGTATATGCATACTTGTTTTCCCTAGCTCTATCTACAGAAAGGGGCTAGAATCAAATGCTTGAGTTGCAATAAGCTGAGATCTTGATTTCCAATACCATTCTCCACTAAAAGGAGCCACGGTTCCTCAGAGAAATGACTAATTCCAGGTAATTGCAGTTGCAGTAAGAGCCTGAAACATCTCATTCCAGAAAATCAGATAGTACTCAAAAAATGGTTAGAGTAGGTCACAAAGGCAAAGGAACCAGCTTGAAGTAGACTTAACTGGCCAAAGCTAGGACAATTTGAGCACCAAAACAATTAAGGCAGTAATGAATTACTAAAACATTGAAAAAAAGAGTGCATGAGTTCACACTGATAATTAGAAGAAAATAAATAAGGAAGAATAGAGGGCCCTTGCTTAGAGCAGCAGAGTACTGGATGCAAACTGGGAAAAATGATGCTGGAAAATTACCATTTTCTGGCCATCACAGTAAAGATCCTGGCAAGAATCATCCATGGATGATAAACCTAAGGGGAAATTTTGATGAGAAACAGGGTGTGTGCATATTATTAAAGTATCTTCATAGATTGCTTGTTACAATTGTCAATCGTCAAGAAAAAATAATTATGTAATAATTTTTAAATAATTATATAATAATAATACATAGGGAAAACCTTGATTGCATGATCAAACTTAACATAATGAACAAGGGTCAGGTGGCCATTGTGTGCCTCAGATTTGATCCCATGAGAAAGACACAACGTAATGTGATGTTAGGGAATGCATAACTAGAATTCAGTCACTAGGAAACATTCAACAAACCCCAAAATGAGGACTATTAGAAACGAAAGGACTGCATTCTTCAAAAATGTTAATGTCATATGAGGCTGTGGCAATGGCTGACGAGCAAGGTAGCTGTGAGCCCAGGGACTCGCATCTCAGCCAATGCTGCTTAAGCGCAGCCTGCATGGTGGCCACCTCCTCTGAGCAATTTGAGAAACTGCAGGAAATTTTCTGCGCCTCCATGTAGACCTATGAGGAGTGCCAGAGCAGCTCATGGGGACTGGAGAGACAAAAGAGAAGAAATTGATCTTTTTTTTTTTTTTTATGAAAAGTAACAGGAAGCAAATGAAATGCTGGCAGAGATGGAAGAGGAACCACTTATGCACCTCTATCTTTCTGTAGCCCTGTAATGTCTAAGCTTCAAACGTACCAAAAGGACCTTGCCAAACACCACTGGAATGTGAGAAGCACATCTTTGACAGCCACACCTGGAGAACTCTGGCACATACACTGTAGGGAATGAGCATATAACTCAGCTACTGTCTCAAAGGGTGTTGCTTTTACAAGGCACTGACAGCCTGAGCCGGGCCACCCAGAGTACTTAGCATTCCCATTGGATGGCCACAGAGGCTGGCCAGATTGGCTCAGAAATCATGGAAGAGTTGGGGAACAACGTGGCCAGTTGGAACATACCAAGAA